ATCTTAGAGACATTGATCAAGGATAAGATGATGTGTCACTTAACAGCGAACAACTTACTGAGTGTTGCTCAGCATGGATTCCTCAAAGCTCGATCTTGTGACACCTGTCAACTCTCTTTCTTTGACTATGTTCTCCAATCTAGGGACCATGGCTTTGCTCTTTACACAGTATATTTCGATTTCACTAAGGCTTTTGACCGTGTTGACCATGCTCTTCTCCTCTTGAAATTGTCATCTTTCGGAATAGGTGACAAACTTTTGAATTTTATATCCTCTTATTTGGGCACTCGCACACAACGAGTTAAGATTTCCAATACCATCTCCAAGCCCACACGTGTGAGGAGTGGAGTCATTCAGGGTAGTGTACTCGGCCCGCTTTTATTTTGCCTTTTCGTTAATGATGTACCCGATTTATTTCAGAATGGTAAGCCTTTCATGTATGCCGATGATCTTAAAGTTGCATATCGATATAGGCCGGCAGATCATGACATCGTGCTTGAGCTCCTAAAGAGCGATCTACAGGCATTCGCCCAGTGGTGCCGCACATGGCGCCTTTCTCTTTCCTGGCATAAGTGCTCAGTCATGGTGGTTGGCGACGACCGTCAACCTCAACTAAGTATTGAAGGTCACGCAATAAATGTGCCAGGGGTTATAAGGGATTTGGGCGTATCATATTCCGAGAGTCTTAATCTCTCGGAGCACTGTGCCTTGATAGTCTCCAAAGCACGTAGAACGACCGGGTTTATCCTCCGAAATTTTAAAATTAGGGACATTAGAATGCGCCTTTTCAACATAAAAGTTAGACCTGGTCTGGAATACTGTTCGTTTTCATTTAGCCTCATGCGTGCTACTGAGCGGAAGAAAATAGAATCCGTTCAACACCTTTTTACCAAGAGAATTTTAACCCCGGAACACCGACATTTGTCTTACCAAGAACGTTGCCGGCTTACGGGCCTTGATCCTTTATGGTTCCATAGATTATGAAAGGGACTATTTTTGTTATTTAAACTCTTATATAGTCACACATTTAACCCACTCACCTCTTTAAGACATCATATCCACCCACGACATAACAGTCACCGTAAGGTCATCTTATTTCTGCCTCTGGCACGTACTGTTAAATATCGTCGGTTCTATTATGTAAATGCAATTGCTATTTGGAATAAACTACCCATGAGTGTGAAAACTCTGCAAAATTATCCTTTATTTAAGAGAACTATTACACGATGTTTGCATTCAGAAAGGCTCCCACAAATTTTGGGTGCTGAATCCGCTGATCGACTCTACCGTAGCGATGGCGTTTGTGGTCTCCGAACACTATGGCCGGTCTCACCAGCTGTTCCTCAACGCCTCTCCTTTGACTATCCCCAACTTCATGAAAGGAATTGACGTCCGATAATCTCCGATACCGTGCAACTCCCCCCCCCCCTTCTTGACGGTCGAAAGTCTACCACCAGCAGTTTTTTCTCCTGAACCCTCCAAACCATAAAAACCACCATCAACTATATTTTTATTCCTTTACCTCAGGAGTTTTTTTACTGCTGGTCGGATTTGTGTTTAATCGCTTCCCTTGACAATGCCTGTAAACTGACATTTAATAATTTATTATTATTATTATTAAAATATGACATACAAGCGTGGCGGCCATGGCTAGTTAGGGACCAAACATGCCTCGAAAGAGTACAACGTCGCACATTAGAGCTGGTGAACTGTTTAAAAGGCCGATCCTGAATATAAAGACCGAACTGCCTTCATTTAATCCCTTCTTGTTACAGGCAGCAAAGAGGTGATCTTATCCTCGTCTACAAGATAATACATGGCCTTGAGCATGGACTTAAATTTGAGGACATGTTTCAGTGGCACCTTTCACCCAATCTTCGTGGTCACTCGATGAAGCTACGGACAAAAATGTCCAGACTGAATCTTTGTTCTGAGTTTTTCACACAAAGGGTAGTGGAGAGGTGGAACAATCTCCCTCAATCAGTCGTGGAGGCGACGTCACTTCAACTCTTCAGGAAACACTTAGATGATTATTTGTGTCCGCTGTTTTCCCTCGACAGTCTAAACCTGAGCTCAATTCCCCTACGATTGGGGGGCATCTTGTTCTTTGAAATAGTGCTACTCAAGTGAATCAATTATCGTCTGATGAGTCTCCGTCTGCCTCTTCAGGAGGGCAAATCCACTACCATCGGCAGCGTTTACGCTCCCACGATGACCAGACCTGACCAGGCGAGGAACGAATTATACGATGACCTGCACGCACTCCTGGCGACTATTTCGAGGACGGATACGTTGGTTGTCCTTTGTGACTTCAACGCCGCATTGGCATAGTCGATGCTGTCTAGAGAGGAGTGCATGGTCACCATGGTCTCAACGGCTACAATGATAATGGCCTACCCTTTCTGCGAACCTGCGGCGAACACCGGCTCATCCTGACGAACGCCTTTTTCCGCACCCCATGCGATAGAAGTCCACCTGGATGCATCGTCGGTCGCGTCAGTGGCACCAGCTGGACTATGTTCTCGTCCGGAGGCAAGACCAGCGGGACATGCTGGTGACAAGGCGATCCCGGGTGTCGACGGATAGACTGACTCCAAAATGTGGATCCGCCTACAGCGTCGCAGGAGACCACATAGGTAAGCGACCCCCAGGTAAGCTGAATAGTTCTTTGTTGACGTTGACTGCTCACCATCTCCATTTCAGTAATGAACTAGTTTAACAGCTAGCCAGCCTACCAGTCGCTGACGCTGCCGCCGCTGAAGAGAACGGCTCTGTGAATGACCAGTGGTGTCAACTGCGGGACACAGTTCAGTCGACGGCCCTGGCCGTTCTCGGTCGCGCGCGCCGCCAACACCAGGAAAGGCTCGATGACAACGACGTCACCATCAGCAATCTGCTCGTCAATAAGAACCGCCTGCACAAAGCCTACGTCGACCGCCCAACCGACGCTTACAGAGCTGCTTTCTACCGTAGTCGCCGCCTTGTGCGACAGCGACTGCGCGAAATGAAGGACACCTGAACGGTCCGCAAGGCTGAGGAGATCTAGGGGTACGCAGACCGCAACGAATGGAAGAACGTCTTCGCGGTGATCAAAGCCGTCTACAGTCCGCCTACTAAGGCAACTGCACCTCCTCTCAGCGCCGACGGAAGTACCCTACTCACTGAGAAGACACAAATGCCACATCAATGGGCCAACCACTTCCGAGGCGTCCCTATCCGTCCCTCCACCATCTCCGACGCCGTCATTGCCCGTCTGCCGCGAGTGCAAACCAACGTCGGCCTCGGCTTCCCACCCTCCCTACCTCCCTCCACGCAACCATAGGGCCGTGCAGCAGCTCTCCAGCGGGAAAGCGCCTGTATCAGACACGATCTCTGCTGAGATCTACAAGCACGGTGGCCTTCAACTCATGGATCATCTGACGGCGTTCTTCCAGGGGATGCGGAGCCAAGGAAAAGTCCCGTAGGATTTCAAGGACGCGACAATCGTGCATCTCTATAAGCGGAAAGGTAATCGCCAGATCTGCAACAACCATCGATGCATCTCCTCACTCAACATGGCTGGGAAAATCTTCGCTCGCATTCTTCTCAACCGCCTGAACCGCCATTTGGAACAAGGTCTCCTGTCGGAAATCCACTGCTGTTTCCGCCGTTATCGTGGGAACACCGGCGTGACCTCCGTCGACCGACAATGTCAGGAGAAGTTCCAGGATATGTGGACTCACCCGTACTCTGCCGCCGTGGATCCTACGACAGCCATCGACACAGTGAATGGTGAAGGACTGCGGAAAAACATGCGGAAATTCAGCCGTCCAGAGCGATTCACTCAGATGGTGCGCCAGTCCCACGAGAGTCTGATCGCGCGCGTCACGGACAATGGAGTTGTTTCAGAGGCGTTCGCAGTGACCAACGGAACGAAGCAAGGCTGCGTCTTCGCGCCCACCCCCTTCAGTCTTATGTTCTCTGCCATGGTGATGGGAGCCTACCGTGACCGACGCCCTGGAATCCGCATCGCCTACAGGACGGACGGCCACCTCCTCAACCACAGGTGGATGCACTTCCAGTCGCGTGTATCCACAACCATCGTCCACGAACTTCTCTTCGCCGACGACTGCGCCCTCAACACTACCTCGGAAGAAGAGATGCAACGGAGCATGGATCTCTTCTCCGCCACCTGCGGGAACTTCAGCCTGATCATTAACACGGACGAGACGGTGGTCATGCACCAACGGCCACTCAACACAGCCCACAATGCGCCGCAAATCAGACTGAACGGAACCCAGATGCAGGTAGTAAACAGCTTCATGTATCTGGGTGGCATCCTCTCCCGTAGCGCTAAAATCGACGGTGAAGTGGCCCGCCGGATTTCCAAGGCCAGTCAAGCCTTCGGTCACGTTCAAAACACAGTTCGGAATCGTCACGGTCCTTAACTCAGCACGAAACTGAAGATGCGCAAGACCGTCATCCTGCCGACGTTGCTTGGACGGTCTACAATAAGCAGGCAAGCAGATTCAATCACTTCCCCCTCAGTTGGCTTCACCTAGAAAAACGCGAGAAAATATCGTCCAGGGGACACCTCCAAGCACGGGTAGCAACTCAGTAAGTACAGACGTGGGTGAAGGTATCAGAAGGGCAACTATAACGAAGCCGCCGATAAGGGCAGACTCGATTTCCATGCAAGACGACCTAAGCGATGTCGCAAAATATTACCTACCGTGGGAGCCATATCGCCCACTCCTCTTGCTGAAAGCGACGAGATTTCTTTTTTGCCAAGGGACGACATGGCTAGGTCACCAAGTCTACCGTTGCTCTCTTGTTCTCGTTACCACACTGAGTGCTCTAAAGAACACGCATTTGAATGCGAATACAGGAACTCGTGGGTAGGGGAATGGGGAAACGCCATAGCAGGAGACTGATGTCACAACCAGCCCTGATGGAATGTTCGGGACAGTCAGTAGACAGCAGAAGAGTGCGTTCAAGCGACAGCTCCGTAAACTGTCCTCGTTCACTTGCAGAGGATTCACCGGAAAAACAAAATAAGGAGATACGTGACCGCCAACAGTGTCTGGTTGTTTAGGGCTTTTCTAAATCGAATGCAGTCAGACCTGAAGACCGTATCTCGGAGGATCTTGCTTCTTTTCATGATCTACTAAACCAGCTACTCCAGACACACATGGAAATAAGGGTCCTGAAAGCATCCCGGATAGGAAAACGGAGTGAAGACAGGACAGCAGCACTACCACCTCGCCCTCTCAAAAATACGCTGGAGAACAAAGAGCAAATCATGTTGATCCTCTCCAAAAAAGCCAACCTCAGAGACGCACATAAACAGGTTTTTTCAATTGGACTACTCATCAGCGGAACGGCTGAAACGCTGGGAACTCGTCTTGGAGTTAAAATTGAGACTAAAGAGGAGCGAACACAATCTGGGTATCTTCAGAGGGAAATTAGTTCAGAACAATATGTCATTTCAGTAATACTAAAAACGCAGGCAGCTACTCAGCTAACACAGACACCTTCGTGGAGTCAGCCGTCCGAGACGACAAGACAAGCAAGCGCTTAGCGTCCAGTGTTCTGACTGAAGTAACGGATATTAATGAAACCCATCTACTTACCTCTCTTCGTAATGATCACCTATCTGTTGTCGTAATTTATTTTGATCTTAGTAAAGCCTTTGATAAAGTGCCACATAAAAGACTCTTGATTAAATTGGAAGCTATGGGAATTCGCAGTCCACTAATAGACTTTCTCAGGTCATACCTGTCTAATCGTAAACAAAAGGTTTTGGTGGGATCTTCACTCTCCAGTGAAAGTCCTATTGTGAGCGGTATCCTACAAGGTACCGTTTTAGGTCCTCTTTTGTTCTTACTTTACATAAATGATATTTCAGCCGCAGTTAAACATTCTCAATCATTTATTTATGCCGATGATCTCAAATGTGTATATTCTTTTAAAAAATCTACGAGCCTTCATTGCCTGGAGCAAATCCATGCTGACTTGCTTGCTCTCTCAGCTTGGAGCTCA